GTATGTCTAGTTTTAAAACATTTATCATTGTTGTTACTATTGTGTTTTAAACAATACAAAACATTAACAGCCCAGTCTCTTGGTATGTCTAGTTTTAAAACATTTATCATTGTTGTAACTATTGTGTTTTAAACAATACAAAACATTAACAGCCCAGTCTCTTGGTATGTCTAGTTTTAAAACATTTATCATTGTTGTAACTATTGTGTTTTAAACAATGTAAAACATTAACAGCCCAGTCTCTTGTTATGTCTAGTTTCAAAACATTTATCATTGTTGTAACTATTGTGTTTTAAACAATATAAAACATTAACAGCCCAGTCTCTTGTTATGTCTAGTTTTAAAACATTCATCATTGTTGTTACTGCTGTTTTACACACCATGTAAAACATTATCAGCCAAGTTTTTTTTTGGTTTTCTAGAACTTATCACTGGTTTAACTGGCCTTTTATACATTACATAAAACAGTAGTAGCTTAGTATCTTGTTTTATTTAGTTTTATGATATTTACTATTGTTGTATCTCCTGTGTTATATGCAATATGTAAAACATTATTAGCCAAGTCTCCCTATTAGTTTTACAATATTTATCACTATAACAACTGTGTATTATACAACAGATAAATCATTAACAGCCCAATCTTTCATTATATTTAGTCTAGCATGCTTAACATCATTCGAACTAAAAAACTTGTACATAGTGAAGTGTTTTAAAAATTAACAGAAGCTTTCTCATCAGTGTTACACAGTAGCAATTACTTAAACTACACAGTAGCAAGTACTTAAACTACACAGTAGCAATTACTTAAACTACACAGTAGCAATTACTTAAACTACACGGTAGCAATTACTTAAACTACACGGTAGCAATTACTTAAACTACACGGTAGCAATTACTTAAACTACACGGTAGCAATTACTTAAGCTACACAGTAGCAATTACTTAAACTACACAGTAGCAATTACTTAAACAATAAAACATTCAACATATTACATGATCCATGAACTTTGAAAAATATCAAATGAATTTTGTCACAAAATCAGCAAAATATATAACAACTTTTCATTTTTATCTTGTCAGACTTGTAGGTATTTGAACAATTATATTTATGTCACTCTAAATGCTTTTTGTTGTACCTTTTATACTTTGTGTGATGCCAGTTTAAACATTATAAGTGTACTTTTTTAAAGATGGAGCTGCTTGTTACAGGTTGAATATCCATGCATGAAAAGAAGATTTCTCCAGAGACATGGTAACAAATTTCAAACTGTTGATACTACAAACAGGGGGATAAGGGGGTTGGGGGTGTAAATTTTTTAAAAATGAAATTTTATCTATAAAATCATATGATAAAAGGCCCTTTACAAACTTATTATCGCCAAACCTGGCAAGTACTCTTAGGGCACCCCATCGAAGTAACAAATGGGGGAGGGATTGGCTTTCAGAATTGACCCCATATTTTAACACTAACTGTTCCATGTATATTCCACATGCAGTGAATGGGAGTGTCAATTAGTTATTATATAAAATATGATTTAATTTGAATGAGCTTAGTAAATGTACAAGTATTTATATATTTAGGGTCTACACCAACAACTTTCATACAGCATTCTACAAAACAAACTCAAACCTTTATTACTGCAGCATGCTTTAGCTGTTCTCGCAACTGCTCCACTTCCTCTCGAAGCTCTCTGATGATCCTAGCATTAGGATCTTCATTGACAATGGCATGATTAACAATGCGTTTAGCCCTGTCTGCATAACGCAGAGTTGAAAGTGTTTCATCATAGTTATCAGCTGCTGGACTGATAGTAGCCACCATTACAGTTTTGCTGTTACCTCCTAAATTATCCTGAAAAATATGAAGTTCTAAAGTTGTCTTAAATTACAATAAATTTAGCTAATGAAACATAAAGAATGTCTAACTTAACTTGAAGTCAAATAATTCATACTTAATAAGAAAATTATAAGAAATTTAAAACAGACTAGAAAATATATCTTTGAAGTTGTAATATTTGAAGAAAACTAGTTATGAAAAGTTTAGGTTTTGAAACACTAAAGAAAGAAGTTTAGATAAAAAAAAAACTTCAACTGTCACACAGAGACTATGCAGTAGCTAAGATAAAATTAATAGAGTTACTTTAAAAAAAACTGTCACACAGTCAGATTATGTAGTAGCTAAGATAAAATTAAGAAATGCTTAAAAACTAACTGTCACACAGGCAAACTATGCAGTAGCTAAGATAAAATTAAGAAATGCTTAAAAAACTAACTGTCACACAGTCAAACTATGCAGTAGCTAAGATAAAATTAAGAAATGCTTAAAAACTAACTGTCACACAGGCAAACTATGCAGTAGCTAAGATAAAATTAAGAAATGCTTAAAAACTAACTGTCACACAGACTATGCAGTAGCTAAGATAAAATTAAGAAATACTTAAAAACTAACTGTCACACAGGCAAACTATGCAGTAGCTAAGATAAAATTAATTCAGCTGCTTTAAGAAAAAAAACTAACTGTCACACAGTCAGACTATGTAGTAGCTAAGATAAAATTAAGAAATGCTTAAAAAAACTGTCACACAGTCAGACTATGTAGTAGCTAAGATAAAATTAAGAAATGCTTAAAAAACTAACTGTCACACAGTGAGACTATGTTTGTTTGTTTGTTTTGAGTTTCTCACAAAGCTGCACGAGGGCTATCTGCACTAGCCATCCCTAAATTAGCAGTGTAAGACTAGAGGTAAGGCAGCTAGTCATCACCACTCACTGCCAACTCAACACTGGGCTACTCTTTTACCAACGAATATTGGGATTGACTGTCACTTATAATGCCCCTACGGCTGAAAGGGCAAGCATGTTTGGTGGGACGGGGATTCGAATCTGCTACCCTAAGATTACGAGTCAAGCACCCTAACCACCTGTCCATGCCGAGCTGGTGAGACTATGTAGTAGCTAAGATAAAATTAATTCAGCTGCTTTAACAAAACTTTGTCACAAAGTATGACTATGCAGTAACTAAGATATAATTAATAAAGCTGCTTTAAAAAAAACTTGCGTTACATTGTGTCTTAATGTCTTGTTCATCTCCATATCATAAAATTTTTGCTATTACATACCCATTAAGTATTAAAGCAAACAGTCAAACTGCTAATGCATCATATGGAATTTAAGAGAAAAATATAATAAAGCATTAGACGGTTGTTTTCAGTTTTCTTGATCACATTTTAGAATGAGTTTAAGTTAATATTCTATTCTCTCTCATTCTCCCAATGTCAGTATTTTCTCAATTGCTCATATACTATATTATTATATGCCACAATAAATACTGGAGTTAAAAGCTAAAGCAGTCTAAGTTGTAATGTTTGTTTTTGGATATCGGTTGCAATTGTTCTTTCCCATATATGCAAAGAATGCGACTGCAAAATTAAATTACAGTCATGAAATTCCAAGTAAATCATTTATGAAATGGAGACAATAAAACAAATGAAAGTTTTTTTTCATGAAAGAGCTTGCTTTTCTAACTTCAACACTGCACACCGTAAAGCTTTGTTCTACAAGTCAGTTTAGTTCAGTGAAGATAGTCAACGTATGATCTATTTTTTCACTGAAAATTAAAGAAGTACTTCAGATACTTTATGCAGATATGCTGAAGGTTAAAATATAACGAATACTAAGCCTACTTTTAAAAGCCATGTGAGTACAGAATCCCGGTATGGAACAAACTTGTCTTTTGCTTTTCCTGATGATTGGTCAGCTAGTTTTGATATGACCAGGCCCAAGGTTGTCAGTGATCTATACGAAAGATTAATATACACACAGAGTGAAAAATTGTTATTAACATTCAAAACGAAAAGAAATCTGAAAAAAAGCGAAACCTAGAATAAAATAATAATAATAATAATAACATATGCCAGAAAAAAAGTATCCTACAATTATATTTTTTGTAATTATTACACACACTTTCATATTCTGTTGCTACAAAAGATAATTTGAGGTTGTACTAACTTGCATATAGATATAACACCATTTTGTATCACACTGGATTACAAACTAGGAACATATCCAGTTGGGAACTGAATTTATGAAAATATTTATCTCTGATCTGCCATGTCCAGTGAAGAAGACTATCACCTAGTGGAGTCCATTAACAACAGATTGCAAAATTACAAAAGACAGACTTTACAGGGTGACAATTTCTATATCTGAACTAGTTGATTTAATGACACACTATATTGATTGCACTTATGAAAATACTTTTACCTTGTGTTAAGATTCTAATGTATTCACTTTTTACAGCAATACTAAAATACATTATTAAGCAAACAAGAATAAAGTTATAAAAAACAAGAAGAAGAAGTGAGTACAGTTACAAAATTGACACAATTTTAAATCTTTCACTGTCATAGGAGTTTGGTATCTTACACCACTGCAAAGGAAGTTTTACCAATTTTAAATTTCAGTTACGTAATGAAGTATTAAGACCTGTGTCTTATTGTTACTTACTGTGTACCTAAATATAAACCTTATAGTGAAAGAGTTAACAACAGTATCCAAAGTTTAGACACAGTTTAAAACCTACTTGCAGATATTTTGTTTCTATTCAAACCCCAGACGTAAAGGTTCTCTCACTGATAGCTTAACTAAGATTAGGCTTAAAATATTTTTGTTGATACTGGATCCTTCCTTGAAGCATTCTCCTACAGCCCCAGACTTCACAGTTCTTATACTAGAAGCTAAACTTGGATTAGGCTTAAAACCTACTTGTTGATATTGGATCCTTCTTTCAAGCGTTCTCCTACAGCCCCAGACTTCACAGTTCTTATACTAGAAGCTAAACTTGGATTAGGCTTAAAACCTACTTGCTGATATTGGATCCTTCTTTCAAGCATTCTCCTACAGCCCCAGACTTCACAGTTCTTATACTAGAAGCTAAACTTGGATTAGGCTTAAAACCTACTTGCTGATATTGGATCCTTCTTTCAAGCATTCTCCTACAGACCCCAGACTTCACAGTTTTTATACTAGAAGCTAAACTTGGATTAGGCTTAAAACCTACTTGTTGATATTGGATCCTTCTTTCAAGCGTTCTCCTACAGCTCCAGATTTTACAGCTCTCTCACTACCAGCTAAATCAACTAAGCTCATTTTGGACACCTTTTCACCTGTAACCTGAAAACGAATGCTGATATTGATTATAACTTCCAAAAACTTTCAGCAGAAAAAACAACATTTAAACACAACAATATTATTTTGTATTTCTAAAAATTTATGCAACATTAAACAAAACAACACAAAAGAGGGAATAATTTTACCCAACTTACAACTAATAATACAATACTGGAAACACAACAATCTTCTACAATATGTTTTTTCTAGCATCAGTCAGAATGGGTGTTTTAGAAAAGTAATGCATTTTGAATAAGTGCTCTTTCCTACTAACCAATCATATCTTGATATGAATAATTAATTTTTATACGTTTATTATTTCATTATGGAAATGAAAAATATGATTCCATTACCATTACAACAGAATATGTATTTAAAAACTAGTAAGCCTAGTTTTTCCTTGATGTTTTAAATAAACGTACCCCAGACTGGACATCGGTCAGAGAACAGGTTAAAGTGATGTTAAACACAGCATGAGATCGACTAGATTCACTGTTCATGTTAGTAGCAGCCACTGTCCTGGACTTGTTTCCTTCTGTCATCAAACAGCTGATGTCCTAGGGTTGTAAAACACACCCTAATCACTGAACTAAAATTTGAATATGTAGATACCAAATACAACTTTATTACATATATTTTGTAATAATATATTTCCTGAGCAACCCTATTTTTCCAAAAAAATGCTCAAAGCAAAGTAATAAAAGAATCACCTCAAACATTAAGCAAAATGTGATTCATTCAGTAGTTATAGGAAAAAAAATTGACCATTACTATAGTCCAAATTACTTTTCTCTGTATCAATGTTATAATGCAACTTTTGACCTTTTGGGGAAGCAAATTTAGTGCTTCAAAAAAAAAAAATAATATATATATATATATGTGTTATGTCTAGAAAATCCATTGATATTACTAAATGTCTGCCGTATGTATTCATTCAACAATACTGGACTAGTAAAACATTTAACAATGGTTTGCTCTTAAAACTCATAATAGTGTGGACAAAGGAAAACACCTTTACAGTAAATCAAAGATTGGTAAAAAAAATCTCTGAAGATTCAAGAATTCTGAGTGAAGAACTTCAAAATATGCTCCAGACTGAGAAAACATAGCATTATATACAAATTTCTACAATGCTATTATTGTTAGAGCACATACAATACCCACATTACTGTTGGTAATTCTGACTGGAAAAAAAGGAGAATGTATCCTCTAAGTATCACATGGCTCACCAGTGGAAAAGACCACAGCCCACTTTTTTTACTTTACAGTAATCTTTCTCAAACAAAAGCACACATAATAAATAGATAAATGACCTACAACAATAGGTAACTATAATGAAAGAAACTTAGACACTTCCTTCAGCAACTTTATATGTTTTTATCCATGAAATTTCAGAAAAATGTTGGTGAACCTTATAAAGCCACGCTGCTAAATAAAACAGTAAAAAAATATAGAATAAGACTGCATACTACATATTTCCTCTATCCTCTTCCTTCAGGCCATCCTTGTCTATTTTAATTCAAAGAAAATTGTGTAACTTACTCTTGTCCCTGTAAAACACTTACATGACATAACAGACATATAAAAGAGGAAAACAACTTCACATATTAAGACTCAAAAGCAAATCAAAACAACAAAACTAGATTAATTACAAAATTTTAATGTGGATATTTTAACAGCAAACAAAAAATTATCAAAAATACACAATCAAACGTCTATAATTTCAAGCTAGTTCATAACACAACATAATTCTCTAGACAACAGTACAAAATTAACCCTCTTGTACAAAAAGTAAAACACAAAACAGTAACGTGTTACCACCTATGAGCTGCTTAACTCAATTCATTTACTAACAGTATTCAGCCAAACAAAAGGTTTCTTCTAAACTTCTTCTAGCCAGTTTTTATATTTTTACATTATTACAGTATTTATCAACATACACCAGTCCAACCTAGGCTAAATACAATATTTTACAGTAAAATAAATTTGACATATAACGTGGCCACCAACACCAGTAACCACTTTATCACAATATTACATCTTCATTAAGAGTTGATTCATTACTTCAATTGGTATCACAGAAAAATAAATACATGCAAAACTTAGTAAAATGAAAACTTTTCCCCTTAGAGTCATAAACATATAACTACTATATGCTGTTCTGACAAAAAACACAACTTCCTCACTGCAGATGGAGGAAATATATGTACAATTATATGTACTAGATATATTTAGAAGGTATTACATGATCTGCTACACAGAAGTTACACTACCTCCTCTAGATAGTGTGAGATTTTTGTAACATGTTCTACAAACAATTCATTCTCTGAAATCCCTCAGTAGTTTGAAAATAAGGAGTTGTAATGTTCTTTCAGCTGACTTTTCAAACTTCCAGAGAACATCTTCAATCATACGAACTTGCTGTTCTAATTAGGGATGCACAAGTAGTAAAATTTTACTTTCAACTTTCAATGCCTAGCCCCAACTTCTCAAACCCTAACCTCATTGTTCTCAAAAACCCCACCTTCCCCAGAAATCCACTTCTCAAGCCATGCCTGTTATTAACCCCCATTGTTCTCTGAATCCCTAACTTTCAGTGGGAGGTCAGTTTTTGTTGCTCGGAACAAATTTTTTTTTATAACTAAACCAATTACTGACTGTAACTTTCAATACTGCATTAGTTGCCACAAAGATTAGAGCTTAGATGCCGGGCTTTGACAATCGATCAGAGCTGAGTATTACCGGGTAGCCCAATATCTGACCGGTGCCAAATATTTGGCCACGTACCCATGCATCCCTAGTTCTAACTATTACATCTACTAAATCAGCGATCCTAACTATGTTGTAAATAAGCAGCTACCACATGATATTCTGTAATATTTCGAGGCAAAACGCTGTTTGAGAGCTTGGAAGAAAAGGTCAGTTAAATACACTCTTAGTTTATCAATGTATGCAGTAAACTCATGCATGCCATGTAAAAGCCATTACTCGTTATATGACTGAAACAGTTGTTGGATGATAAAATAAGAACTTGTACAACTAGAACCAGTTTGTTTCTGTGTTACTGACATGTAACACAGCCATACCCAGTCTTCTTGCTTTTTTTATCATAACATCTATTCTGCTATAATGGCAGTCTTTCCCAGCTGTTGATGCACAAAGTTATTTGCATCAGATAATAAAAACCTTAACCACTCCAAACGTTTTTTCATAGACTGTGGCACATCTTCTCTACAAGGTAGGGGGGTAGATCATACACCACATCCATGGGAAGCTATATTTCTCAACCAAACACAAACATGCATATTGAAAAACTAGCCGTTCTCTGTTTAATTTCAAGGTATGGCATCGTGACATATGGCAATTATTCATCCCAGTAAGTTCCATGACAATTAAAAAATTTTGTAAGCATCCACTTTATAGTTTGTACTAAGTGTTTTGCTAAACCATTAGAAAAAAGGAGATAAGGTGAAGCATGCATTTTCCCCACACACAATGCTTTACATAACTCAGATAAGAGCTGACTATTGAAATTAGCATCTTTATCTGTGTGAGTTTCTTTTTTATGTGTGCCAAATTGTGCTATTTAGAGCTCATTTAGTGTATCAAACATATACTGTGCTGATTTATCAGCCAATGGGAAATCTTCAGTTCCACTAAGTGATGTAATTGATAATAACCAGTACAAATTGTTTAACTTTCTTAGTTTCCATAAGAGGACCATTGAAATATATATGTATTCTATACAGTGCAAAGCAATGCTGTATTTACTGTGCTTAGGTTGTTTTTCCTCTGGGTGGTACACACCATACATTGTGTACATCACTGAATGTGACCAATAAAACCACAAGTGCATGTTCACACAAATTTTCCAATCTTCACATTATGCAGAGTCTGAAGTATTCCTTGCATAAGAGCTCTAGGGACCTTAGCTGCAACACAGGTTGGGAACCAGATCGCTGGGACCACTAGCTGCAACAAAAGTTGAGAACCAGATCTCTGAGACTACTAGCTGCAACACAGGTTGGGAACCAGATCGCTGGGACCACTAGCTGCAACAAAAGTTGAGAACCAGATCTCTGGGACCACTAAATGGAACACTGGTTGAGAACCAGATATTTGTGGTTTATAACAACATACAGAACATATTTCTGAACTTGTAGCTACCCCAGGTTTCCTCCATTTGCATAATATTCCTTAATATGACCTGGGCATGCTTCACTTTACTCCTTGGCATGGGGTGCCAAAGGTAGATCTGGGTCATACATTAGTTCTTCCCAGGTAATCAACTATTAATGGAATCACCTACATTGTGGTTTGACATCACGACAGAAGAAATGGTTTAACTCTCACAGTGTACAGAGTCAGGTCATTTAATGAATGGATACATTTTCCCCATGTGGTGGATAATCCGTCTACACTTATATGTTGTGAGCCCATTTTCTGTCTTCTGAAACATTGTCATTTTCACCATTTCATTGAAATATTTACTGTAAAGTTCTACAATATGTTTAACACAGCTAGCACTCATTTTTTACCTTTGTTCCAGATAATTAACTTGCCTAAGACAAGATTTTTTAATAATATTTACACTGTCCCACTTTCCAATCAAACTTACAATATATACATTGTTGGCATATGTGTGCAGTCACTACTTACTTATATTATTGTTGCGACAGTGGAAGTCACGTGACGCTGTGAGCATGCATGGTGAATTTTTCGAATAATCAGGGAACTTCGTGAATTTTGAAGATGCCTCTTTGTTAGTATATAAGCTTGGCAGAGAAAAGCCAGGAAGTTAATCGAACAGTAGTTATGGTGAGTTTCAGGTAATTTACTATTCTGTTTCGAGCTAGTGTGTGTTTTGAACTCGTAGAGAGCAAAGTTATCGAGATTTTGAATCACAGTGATTCATAGCATGTATTATAAAAGTTGTTAAGTTCAAAGTGACGAGAAACATACTGACTGTGGAATTACTGTGTACTAAAAGTTTGTATCGCGGAAGAATAAACTGGTTTAATCAAGAAAGGACTTGTATCGCTGAAGTTCCTCGGAAAGAATTTCTACCGGAAATTAACAAACAAGCAGATACATAACACTATGGACTCTGGGTATAGTTGTTACCCAAACAGATTTAAAGATAGATAATATTCCATTACCGATTTTCATCATGACTGTACAATTATACACAACATTAAGTTGTATGTAGAGGTAACAGCTCATCTGTTATTTTCATATAAGCCATCCACACAACAGAACAACACACTAGTTGACACACAAATGTGCCTTTTCATTTAATTAGCAATGATAAGTTTTAATTTTGGTGCACCTATCCAATACTAACACAACAAATATTTACAAACTGGTCTTATACTTTTAAGCAGTGTATTAATATTGTAAGATAAAATGGGGAACCTAGAAACACACACAAAAAGCTTTCTTTATCTAAACTCATTCTACAAATGTCACTTTCCTGCATACAATTACTTCTTACCTGGAAAGATGAGACTGCCAAAGTGGACAGTCCATCCACATATGGACCAAGAATGTTGTGTTCTCGTACTTTTAGATGCTGTCTGGTTCTAAAATATGAAATTGTTATTTATTACAATAATAATAAGGAAGATCAATTAATGTAAATGATTTTTAACTACAACAACTCCAGTTAAAGGTTTTCCAGGTTGTTTAAATCTGTGGTGTGCCCTCCCCCCAATAGAGGCATGGAGAGTCAGTAGGAGGGTGCACAACTATGACTGTAAAAGCACATAAATAATTATATCTGAAAGTACTAATTTAAAAATGTTTTAAAAATTTACCATACAAATATTACTACTATTAAGTAATGTAATAACAACAATTATCGTCTACTGTATATATACACAAATAGGTTATACAGGGTGTGAGGGACAACAAAACACTTCTTGAAAAGAGAGGGCACTGTAAAAAAGTTTGAATTAAGGGTTGCACAAAATGAGTATCCTGTGAACTTTATAACAAGGTAACTGTCTTGCTGTATAGAATAATAGTCAACATGATTTTCATGGAGTTAAAATAACCTTAATTCTGTGTTCTTTAACTATGATCCATGTTAATTTTAACCACCAGAGTTACTCAAACCAGTGAGTCAAACTCCAGAAACATTATTTGATATCCAACATTTATTAATAGAGAAGAGGATTCTGAATTAGTAATGAAGCAGCTAATAATTTTAACCACAGATGTGTTTTCAATGCAGGGTCGGTCAATGTGACGACCTCATAACCATTTTGTGCTTGTAATAGTGTTCATGCTATAACTTTTAAATTTGTAAGCAAATGTTAACAAAATTTGGCAGATTATCAGTGAACATTACAATGCTTTCATATGCAAAATATCTAATTTTTTATTAAGTCTTATGTCTTTTATTATGTTTCTCTCATGCCCTTTTTTCTTTTCACATCTTGCCTATCTATCATGCAAAGTAATTTTCATTTTAAGATTAAAAATACTTTTATGCATTAGAAAATTTTGAAATTTCATATGTGAAGTCTCTATAATATCTGGACAGTTATCAAACATTTCTTAAGAAAAAAACTTTATATTTATCTGTTATTTTCAGTAATTAATCTTTGTACGAGTTTGGTAGATTTTAATGATCTCACAACTACCACAAAAAATTAGAAAATAAATATAAATTATGCCTCTTTCATTCTAGAATGAACACAAATTATAACATGAAAACATAAATGTTTAGACGAAATAGCTTAAATCTCATAACATTATACATTTATATATATTTATTATTTTTATTATATTGTCTTTTCAGCCGTGCCTGGCTAACAATACAGAAGTTACAATGACGCGGCTCCCACGCACTCATGTTACCATATCAAATAACATAAAGGTGACCTTTGGTCGATACAAAGTAACTTGTCTTGGCTGTGTTTTAGTACACTAGTATTTTGTAAAATACAGTCACATTTCAATATTATACATTATATATGTATATAGATTATTACTATTTTGAAATAAGTTCTTAAACATATTTTTCCTAAAACATAGAACAGTAAATAAACAAGTAAAACAAACAATTATCTTTTCTAGTTATGACTTTTGTACTCAGTTGCTGCTTGACGTAGGTTGCTAAGCCTTTAAAAATTTTGTACATGGAGGATATAAAACAAAATATTTTTTTCTAGGATTCATATATACAGTTGAATAACTAAAAAATCATAAATTACTACATTAATACCATAGAATTCAACTATAATTTATCAAGCTTAGTAACTAAGATGTATTTTACTCTAAAAAAATATGAAACTTTGAGCAGACTAAAGACACAAACTACCTCATTGAAATCAAAAGAAAGAAATGATGGAAGGAACATTAGAAAGGTTGCAAAAACTACTAGGGAGACATTCTGAGCTTCCGATTGGTTATTCATGTCATATATAGAAGTAAGTGTATATATATACATATGGGAGCATTTTCAAAAATGGAAAGAAGTGGGTGAGGTGCCACTGTGTTTGATTTATTACATGAGCAATATCTTAGCAAATAGAAAAGATAAGACCTTCTTACTTTATATTCTATCAATATCTGTAATTTGAGTTTTTAATTCGTACAAAACTGTAGACTTAGTATTTTGACTTCACAAACATCTAATTTGAACCAGTGCTGCATTCAACATACCACGTGACACACAAAAATCAATGTTTATCTGTGTTTTTTTAAATATTTACTTTTAAATTAAGAAATGTATAGTTCTAAAATTTGAATTATAATCTACAGTGTGATACCAAACTTACTGTTATAAATTCATGAAATAGTAGTTCAATATAATTTTGAATGCAAGTCAACAAACAAGATGACATGACCTTTCACTCATCTCGAAAGGGTTAATATGGGCTACACATCTGAGACCGAAAACCTGACATAAATTATTCCCATAATATAATGGTAAATATGAGTATAATTTATTAAGTTTATAATTTAAAATAAAATGAGAGAAAAGTTTCATATTTAATGAGTGAAACTACATTTTTTATATAGTAACAAATGTAATGAACCACCATAGTAATATTCTATGTATTTTTATACACTTGAATCTTAACTGGCCTAATGTAAGTTACCATTGATTTGAACAATGCCTTGTTTAATGAAGTTTTGTGGGGCCTTCAAATCCAGAGGTCATCAAGCAGACGATATAATATCTAAAATCTAAGTTAAATTCTATTTATATCAGTGACTTATGAAACACTGACTTGTATAGCATATAATGCTAGAAGTGGAACAGTATAACAGGTGTGGAGAAACAAGTCTAATAATGAAATGTAACTGTCTTATTTCTCAAATGGCTAAACACAAGTCTAATAATAAAATGTAACTGCCTTGAAATATTAATATTTACACTAAGCTTAATTAAGTTCTTGTATTGAATAAAAGGGCTCATAAATATTTGATTAGAAAGGATAAAGTGCATTTGAAAAGCTATGCTTGTTATTCTTAATGGAAACCCATAACGGGCCAGTTAAGAATAAAGCATTCCAAAATATGTACAGTCTCATTGTGATGTTTCTACACATCTGCTTTGGTATTGTATATAATAAAAACAATACATCTATAAACATGAATACTCACTCTTTAGGGTCCAAGAGATCATGGACTTTTTCATTGTAAATCTCCATGTATGAAACTTCAACTTTATATGAAAGACTGGGATTGGTGTTAGAAGCTATCCTTCCAAACAAGTCATCACAGAGGCGAGGAATTAGACCCCTGTTTTCTTCTGAACCCATCATGGTGAATGATTTGCCAGAACCTAAGAACAAAGGTCACATGGAATTTCAAAACTTACAAGAAATACATGATTCATACATTCAGAACTATGATAGTATTATATGTTTGATACAGAAATAATGTTAAAAAGCTCAACGACAAAACCTACAACAGCATTCTTTTAATTCACCTTGTTGACAAGATCAGTCTTCCCAGACCAAATATTGTTTGATACAGTAATATTCCGTTTAGCACTCAGGAAGGTTCTTGAGAAAAAGAGGGTTATTTTACCATTACATATATGGAGATATGTAACTGAAGACATTGTTTCATACCTGTGAATGATGTATAAGTGCTTTATTTAGGTACTGGTAAATTTAACATAAATTACTCACTATAATATTGTCATCACTGAAAAAAAAACAAATTTTTATTAGCTTTCAATCTTGTTTGGTTACAAAGTAATCAAACAGAAAATCAGACCCCTCCTGCCATACCCACCTGTCACATTCTCTCTTTCAGGATTTGTCAATACATGTAGTTCTCTCTTACGTTTACGACTATATTAGTTATAACCAAAACATCGGCAAGGTTTTTGTCTATCAAATGACGTATTATATTACATGGTTTTCTGTATAGAGATTTATTGATTGCTTCCTAACAAAATGTTTTTTTTCCCACGTGAACGATACTGTGTAGATGGATGAAATTTTAACAGTTCATGCTGCGTTACTAGAAATGCCAGAAAAATCATGATAATTACGGGACACTGTCTACTTTTTGCATGTTATTATCCTATGATCTTTGTTCCATTATTTTATTAAATAATTATTTAGTGTATGACTACCATTAGTATGAAAAAGGAATGTCAGAGAGTTATGGATTTTTATATTTTTTCTCTCTTGTGAAAACAACAATCTCTCAAGGAGACAAAAGCTCTATAATGAATCAGCTTAAAGCAGGGTGGCGTTAAGTGGGGTCTTACTGTACTACAATATAATGTGATAAACAGTATAAGGTGAAGTAACGGTGACTGTTAAAGCTGTTTACACTTGAGAATAATGTACTAGCTTTTTTGAAATATCATATATAAATTACTTTTTTGAGCACCAGCTTTCTCTATTCACGAGGGAGGGAGGGGGGGGGGGTGATTGCTGGAAAGCCATTTGGACAAACTGTGACAAGTTGGGTTCCAATTCTGGAATTTCATTATGTTAATGGGGTTTCCCAAATCCCAGGATTTGCTGAATGTATTAACTTTGTATGGATGGGTGTCACTGATATGCCCCGAGTTTTTTTATTTCACAGTGTCGATAATGAACCAAATTGCATGAAACGTTTTAACCAATGTAACTTCTTGTTAAACTTCATTGAAAGCTAACAGAAGGTTGCCAGTACTTAAGTTTAATTGTTTACACTCTGGCTAGTGAATAATGCTTCTTGCTGGATGATAGTGATGCATGTCAAATGATATCTGATTCAAGAATTTTAATAACAAAGCTATTTGTGCAATTGCTCAAAGTTTCAACAATCCCTTTTGTTTGCATTATTTTTTAATCACATAAGTTTGGTAAGAAAAGCAGATAGTTTAATTAGTTTTGATTAAGACCAAATAGAACATGAATAAACAAAAGATTTATAATCTTGGCCCTGATCCTGGGATTTCAGCTGCTATAACCCCAAAATGCTGGAATTCAAAAACAAAAGCTTTATAATCTTAGCCCTAATCCTGGGATTTCAGCTGCTATAATCCCAAAATCCTGGAATTCAAAAACAGAAACTTCATAATTAAGAGAACAATAAGGTAAATTCATGGTACTACCTTACATATCTCAAAAATGTTTTCCACTGACGGTTACCTAACATCTAACTATAATAACCTATCAATGTCCTACTTAAATATAAGAAAATCATAATCAGACATTTGAAATTTTTATTACGTATACTGCTCAATAACATTAGGAATTAATGCCAACACACAAATATTCCATGATACATTTGTGTAATGCTCAAACAAAATCAATTTACTACAATGCAGTATAGTTGAGATAGCTATTGAAAGATACAGTTTCTTACAACAAACTGAACCATGAGTATACTTTATTGAGCTGTCCTCAAAGAAGTTGAACTTCCCTAACATGGAAAGGATTAACATTTCTTTCAATAAGAGGGTAATTAAAAGTTAAAAGTATATGCAATATTAAATAGTTGTTCAATAAATAAGATTTATTAAGAACAGGACACAGCCCTAACAAAAAGACTATATGTTTTAGTGCTGTAGTATTTTTATGACTGTGCCTTATTTTAAATAAATCTTATTTACCGTGCAACTAGTTAATAGTGCATATACCTTTAATAATTTACCTATACACACGTGCTGTTTATTTATTTACTAACTAAAAGAACAATTCCATTACATTTTACTTCTGTTTGTAACAGATGTACGAACACATACACAGTAACTGTTCAGTTACTTATAGACACATATAATTACAACAATTAAATACCTGAAAAACCCAAAACAGTACAAATTCTGAATAAATCATAATAAAGACATAATTAGTAAGACAAGCAAATTAAAAACATGGAGTCTGGTAAAGATAGTATTAAGTTGACAAATGTTTAGTTTGGAGCTAAGACTGATTATGAATCTGAAAGGAGACTTCTATATTTTCATAAATTATTATTCAAATAGACTTCTCAAGCAAAAAATAATTGATGAAAGGGCTTTCATATATTCTTACCTGTCTGGCCATAGGCAAATATACATGCATTGTAACCCTGAAATGCATTGTGAAGGATGTCTGAGCCTAAATGTTGGTAAACATCTTTTTGATTGGCATAATGAGGATCAGTTTCTTTATATGACCAGAAGCAATGGTCAAAAGCAAATGTCTATAGGTGAGGAAAAAACATAACATAAGCATACCATCATGATAAACAAAAATGCTTAAAATGTCATAAAATTGTAAAGAATCTTAGCTAGAAAGAAAAAAAAATCTTCTTAAAAATGTTACATCCCAAAATTGTACCAACTCGTGTAATCTCAAGTCATGCCATAAAATATCGTCTTATTTTACAATAGAAAAAAAAAGCCACCCTCAATTTTTCTTGGTTTTATTACAACTACAAATTTTAACCTTATTGATGCCATAGTTTAAATTGAATTATGAGCTATGAATTAGTCGAGTTTCTCAGTGTAAGTTTTATCCAATCACGTTACAAACATCGTCAGTTATGAACAGTTGTGAGCAGCCTGGATGCCACACACTTTACAACGTCATAACTAAAATATTTTTTGGATTTTCAGAAACTTTCAGTGCCTAGATTAAAATGTACATTTATAGTTTATTTAAATATTAACCGATACATATATTTTCAAATATTATCACAAAATAACAACTGTAACAAATCTACTGTATGATTTAACTAATTCTGTGAAGATGTCTCTAGATGTGTTTTACAAAATAACAACTGTAACAAATCTACTGTATGA